TTCTCAAGCCAACTTTAAGTTGACGCAGATGTGACGTCTGTATCGGTCATAATAATAATAATAATAATAATAATAATAATAATAATAATAATAATAATAATAATAATAATAATAATAATAATCGTTCTGGTGTTTTATTAACTGCGTTTTTTTTCCTTGGAGTTACTAAAATTTTCAAACAATCACTTATCATGTTAATATAATGTGTTATGGTTGATAAATGACAGCGAAACTTCTCATAAATTACTTAGAACAGTTTACTCTCACCGTTCACGCGCGTTTGGTTGAAATTTTTCACTTTGTGATTCACTGGGTAGAAATGATATCCTGTTAGGGGGTCGCCCGGCCACAGGGCGCTTTGTTTTAATTAGTCTGTTTTTCCGTCGCTCCTTCCCAGAACGCCGAGAAAAAAAACACTAAACAACTCATGGGACTAAACAACTCATGTGAGTTTTTGTCACACCCATGCTGATGTGACAAAAACTATACAATGGTGAAGATATAAAAACAACGGACGAAAAACGAATAAAAAATAATGAATTATTATGCATTAAAAACATGTTTGTGAATCTGAAAAGTAGATTTTTGAATGGAAATGTGGAAAAAGTGAAAAGCATATCAGAAGTTTTATAAAAGCAGTAAAATAACCAGAAGAAAAACGAATTGTTCACTGGTTTTGCAATGACTTTCCCCAAAGTAAGCAAGGAAAATGTTTCACTTATTTTGTAAAACAGGCGAATTTCTGTAAATGGACGAATCGGTTTTGTTGTTTCTCTCGTATATATATGCACATGCAATCGCATAAACATACACACAGGCACACACACACACACACACACACACACACACACACACACACACATATATATATATATATATTCACACTTTTTTGTATTTTCTTTCCCAACCAGTGAAAGCACAGAAAATAACCGTATGTTTCGCAGAGGGCGTGTAATAAAAGAATATTATCCGTCTGCCTTACCCTATCTCTCCTTATCTCTCTCTCTCTCTCTCTCTCACACACACACACACACACACACACACATACGCAAGCACACACACACAGATACTAAATGATTATTAAGGAAAACTGTTTTTTAATTTCTTGAAAGATCAAAATGCCATTTTCTTGTTCTCGTTTAACGCAGAATGAAAATTGTGAAGTTTAGTAAAATATTTACAAAATGCGAGGATTTAGAAGTTGAATGACATTCAGCTTTATTAATAATGACTTACAAATAATAACTTCTTGTAACTGTTTCAGTTCATATAGAAGTGATTATATATATACATCTCAATCCTCATTGGGTGCCCTCTATATTTGTGCCTTTGTGTCGTACAAAACTTGAGTTCGACTACTTGTGTGTGTCTATCTGTGCGTGTGTGATATTCTGTGTGTCGGTATAGAAGACACATGCAGTGAATTCGAAATGAATAAAAATCAGTATTATCAATTTCATAAAGACTAATAGTGTTAAAGTCAAAAACGTAATTTGTTGTACTACATAAATATTGGGAACAAAATCAGATAGCTTCTAGCAGTTGAATAATTCACATGAATATAAAAAAACACATTCGTTCACAAATTTTGCACATAGACACGAACACACAATTTTTTTTTATAAAATCTGTTTCCATTTTTTTCTTTTATAATGAATATTTTGTTACAATCTCTTCATTTAATTTTTATTGATCTCTGTTTGAGTTTCAATGCTGAGCCGGCAACGAGTTTGATTTGGTAACAGTGATCGATATTCGCGACTGACATTTCGAAGACACATTCGATATCTTAACTTGCTTCACTTTTACAAGGTTAATCTTTATTTTCTTTAGCGGCCAGCACATCCGTCTTTTGTAACATTATTTAATGGACAACACAATGTAGAGCATCCTTGGGACATTTGTGATTATATAATCTTTAAAAATTTTGTAGATCTACACTGTTAGTCGATATCTCCACACATACACACACATACAGAGAGAGAGAGAGAGAGAGAGATTATCTAACTATATATCTATCTGTCTATATATATATATATATATATATATATATATATATATACATACTTAAACATATATTATTAGATATAACAGATAATGAATGTCTATTATGTAATTGTCTGTTATATTTAATAATATATGTTTAAATAATGATCTGCTGCCCCAATACACTAAACATATATATATAGCCGAGTTATATATATATATATATATATATATATATATATATATATATATATATATATATATATATATATAAACGGAACTATATATAGACGGAACTCTTGTGGGCCGTCGATAGCTGTACTAGCACGAAGCGACAAGTCATCGTAGCCGAGGGCTTGAGCGTCCTGGCCTTGTTCAAAGTATTGAACATGCTAGATAACACGCTCTATCCCAGAAACTGTAACTAACGTCTGCTCAGCATAATTGCAGTATCAACCACATGTGGGCTCTGTGGGTGTTGAAAAAACACAAATGTGCCTGATCGAGCGTCTGCAATAGGGATTGGCTAGCCGACCTAGTAGACGGGTATCCTGGAATACGAGTGGTCAGCTATATATATATATATATATATATATATATATATATATATAGGTTATCCCATAATGATGGAACCCATTTTAAATGCAAGTATCTTGGATTATAAAATGACATAGAGACCAAATATATTTATTACATAACTGATATACAATATTAAGAAATAATATTTTAGATTTGAATATTACATGTCTGTGATGGTTATCAAACCGAAGAGAATAAGTACGAGATTCGACTACGTAGGCAGTTTCTTTTAGCGTCCACTACGGCAAAAGATATATCAGATACCTGTAGGAAATAGAAAACTCTTAGATAATATGTTGAACTCTTGTATATCAATTATGCAATAAATGTAGTTTTATGTCATTTTTTAATCCAAAATGCGCCCCATCGGTCACTGGGCGTCTTTCTAAAAATAAATACGCTAAAATCCACCTTAGTCACTACCGTGCGCCGACGGCTTAATGGTTACAATCTCCGACTAACATCAATTCAGCCTGGTTTCGATCCTTGCTAGAGTCAACCGGATGTCTAGCCACACCGCTGTGTTTTGTTATCTGCTAACTCACTCATGTCTTCTCTCTCCACCTAGGGGTGGGGGTGGAGAGAGAAGACTTCGTTAATGTACATATGTTTAATAAGGCCCGTCAAAAATGTGTAAATTTTCTTTTCATATATATAACGTCATCCACAGACAGACTGTTTCGCAGCTCAGCTTTATTTTTTTTTTTTATTATCCCTTTTTGATATTTAGGTAGATGTTAATACATGAAGTTACCTGTGTATTTCGGCACATGGGTACCTCTATGAGTGATTTAATATGTAAAAGAACGTGTGTATATGTAATATTTTCATGGGTGTGTATACAGTATATGACAGAGCAAGATCTTTAATATTACCTTCAAATATTACCCCATATTAACTTAACTAAAATTTAAATAAAAGAGATTACCTATCTAGAAACAGCCACGAGTTAAATTCATGAACAAAATTCAAACGGATAGAGATGTCAACTTAATAATCAATAATAAATTTCTTTAAAGAGATTAAAAAAAAGATTACTAGAAGTAAACTTATATTTTAAAATAAAATTTTATTCTTTTAATGTACTTTCTATGAATATTTTTCTAATCGACTATTTCATAGAAAATCCCCCAAATTCAAAAAAATTTAAATCACTAACAAACATCAAATTAAATTATTTGTAGACAGTCTAGAGACATTCAAATTTATATCAAACATTATAATCTTTATGAACCCCCAAAATAACACTTTCAAAGTAAAACAAAATAACAGCGTCTGTTTCTAGGCTTTTTTTTTACAAAGAAAATTTAGTGACACCTTCTCTCTTAACTTCCTTCCCTCTTTTTCTCTCTATGCGTTTTTTCTTCTCTACCCCTTTGATATCAATATATAACTTCCGGTAAGTTAACCGTTTAAATGTGTCAATATCTGCTAACTCACTCATGTCTTCTCTCTCCCCCCTCACTTCGTTAATTTACATATGTTTAATACAGCCCGTCAAAAATGTGTAAATTTTCTTTTCATTTTTTGTTTGGAAGTAAAGTCTGATGATCCGCAGTCCTTTTAAAACGGCTGTGGTGAAATAATTTATTACATGGAACCTTAAAGTGGTCTGTTTTTATTTAAATTATTTGGTCTGAATTTACATTGTGCTCTCTGGATTTTATCCTCCTTAGGTTTACCCATACGGATTACCTAGTTTTCATAAACTATATATATATATATATATATATATATATATATATATATATATATATATATATCATATCATAAGCGCTCGATATCAGTGATAGAGCTAACATATTTAGTTGTATTGATGTGAGTTTGTGACCCTGGGTTTCATGTGAAATATATATGTGTGTGTGTGTGTGTGTGTGTGTGTGTGTGTGTGTGTGTGTGTGTGTGTGTGATTTTCTGCTTTTCGTCGGTTGTCACAAATTATAGCACATTTTGCAGAGCTACTGATCACAGTGGAAGGATATAATCTGAATACACTTCCCGGCTTCCCTTTTTTTCTTCCCCAATTGAATGCCTTTTTCATAGTCTCTTCACTTCAACTGCATTTTCCATTCATGGAAATTCCTACGCCTTCATCGTTTTAACTCCACTCGCCTTCCTCCCAACTACCTGCTTCCCTTTTTCACTTTATTCTTTCTTGATTCTATTCACACTCTTCTTCATCCCTACTCTTCTTCCTATGTATTTTTCTCTTTCGCTCACCCTTTACTTACTTCTCTTTAAGCTACTTTTTTGTATATATTTTCTCTTTGCTTTTCTTATTGCTAGCTCAGAATAAAGAATAAAGATAATTAATTCACAAATATGCAAAGTGTATTTCTCTTATGTTTGAATTCAAGCATTGACTTACTACACTATGCCCAGCCACTAGCATATTTTTAAAGAGGAAATTCCTGTTCATCTTACCACCATATTTTGTTGAAACACCGGATCTCGTCCGATTATCGAAGTTAAGCAACATCAAGCCTAATCAGTACCTAAATGGGTGACCACTTGTGAATACCAGGTGCAGTAAGCTTGAATGTGATGTACATGTTGTGTAATGGATAACGGCTCGGAGTAAGTAATCGGAGAGCAGAGTTCGAATTCCAGTCGCGACTGTTACATTCACTTACCCTTATTAACACGCATTAGGTCAGCGCGATAGAGTAATGATTCATTCCTCGCCATGAATCTGAGGAATGTCTATGTCCAACAAAGGATGATCAAAAGCTGAGAAGAAAGAATGAAAGGAACACGTGTCCGTTGGAGCGAAAAAAGAAGAGAGAAAGAGAAAAGGAAAAGAAAGAGGAAAAGAATTTAAGAATATTCGTATAAACGAGCAAATAACCCGCGACTCGTGACTTTGTTTAATCACATCTGCATATGTGTGCACGTATCTCTTGGAATTCAATTTCATTATTAGTGTTTAATACGAGGCAGTCAAAGTAAAGGTGTTAAATCAGAATTATTTAATGATAGAATTTACTTACGCTTGATTGTAACCTTATTTAGACAAATCGTGTCTTCTCTTCATCTGTTGTAGCACACCTACGGACGGTAATGGGTCCCCATTCACATAAATACACTAGCAAATACTGTATGTTGTTCTACAGTCGGAGATTCGTCTTCAGCTGTGCTGATCAAACTGTCTGCCTCCAGGCAGAGAGGATCCCCAGACAAGGCTATGTGCCACATCTGACCGCTTTGGGCGATTAGTAGATATTCTGCAGTTGGCGATTTATTGCTGAATTCACTTGACTCACTTCTAGCAATTGACAAATTCTTCTACGCGCCGCTGGCAAATCTTATGTATTGTTCTTCTCCTAATCGTTCATTACCAACCTTCGTTTTGTTTCTTCTAAAAATGTTATCTATTCAAACATAAATGATTCTGGACAAAAGCTATCAACAAGGCGTAAATTTTGCTTCGTTTGGTAAAAAGCCATAATTATGAGATGTCTTGTGAAGATTTGATTCACTTCTATTAAAGTAATTCTATATTTTACCATCCTATAGTAGGTGGCTTAGATATTTCTTAATTTTAACATTCGATACAAGTTCGCAATAATGGTACAACCAGTTGAAGTAAAACTTAGTACACTATCGGGAGCTTGTGTGATCAACGTAGACCTAAGACGATTTATGACTAAGGAATTACTATGTCTGTGGTGTTGTGGAACTTATAAAGTAATGCTAACGTCTACTGTAATTTATTCAATAGCATAGTTTGATCTTCATATGTTATAATGTCATGAAATCAATGTTACATGTGCTAGAACGAAGGTAAAGCACGTAATCTGAACACTATTTTTACCACCGTACTATAGAAAATAAAGAATTAATCTAAACTTAAGTAAAGTACAATTAGATATGAAAAAAGAGCAAATAACATGCAGTTCCACTCTTACGCTAAATAAGGCAGTCTACGTGATGAGGTATAGAGTATATGAAGTGTTGGACTCATTGTATGCGTATATATTGCCTAAATATATTCCAGTACTTCCTCTAAATGATTTTGTTGCTTTAATGTGTCTGTAAAGTAGTATCTTCAATATATCCCTTACATGTTTAATAGGGATTAATCTGGCACGATTAGTCAATGGAGCAAGTGGAAATCAGCAGAATATTGCAGCAACCAGTTTTATGTCATCCGTGCATGATGGGTTATTTGTGTTATCTTTATAGAAAAACAACCATCGCCAGTAAACATGGCAATAATTAAGGACGTAATGAACGGTCTGCTACATCATCTAACACTAGTCGTCATTGTGGTCTCCAACAGAACACAATACACACTAAAAGCATCAACATCTTAAGCAACACCTTACGAACAAGCTAGATCCATAGCCTTATCATGACTACTTCAAACACGAACTGGACCATCTGTGGGAAAGTGCTAAAACGTGACTTGTCTGACCAGACGTCACGTCGCCAATATTCCACAGACCATTAGTGATGTTCTATGTCCCTGGTTAATCGAAGTAACTAAAGCCATAGTGTGAATTATTGTACCCTTATTGGTCGACGACTGCGAAAATATATAGAATACAATGTATACACTGAAGGGTTAAGTAATACCGGTATTGAATTGGGTAGCGATTCAATACCATGTTAACCTTCGCTGAGTGGTTACCATCCTTGTTAATAAACAGACTTCCGCTTTCTTTTTATAACCATTGACCTCTGATGTCTGTCCGGAATTCACATATTCTTCTGCAAATGTTGTCTGAAAAGAAAAATAGGAGAATTGATATTTTGGCGATAGAGTATCTCAAAGTTTCGGTTCCAACACTCATTCCAGTGCCAAATCTTGTGGAATCTTGACGGCGTCTCATAGCCACCACAGTCACACTGCCACATTTAAATTGCTTCTTCCCCTGTTACGTTACAGATACGAGGCCCAACTAATTCCACTTTTACAAGTGCAGGATGGAGAAATCCTCTAGGTTACTGAAAGTTGCAATCTTTTGATATCATCCTTGCAAGTGAATTTACTTCGTAAAAATGATCAATTTTGTGTGTAGCTTATTAATCTGAAGACATTATGACGCATTGTCTTTTTATAACGACGATTGGGGCAAATACATGATGAATGAAGTGCGAGTAAAACTGACTTGAAGAAAATATATTAACAAAAAATCAATGTAGTAGCTGAACGATTATAAGAAAACTATTCTATCAATTCTAAATTACAATATAGAAAATAAAGGAGCCGATATTTAATGCTCGGAATAAAATTGGCCAAGAATAACCAACTTAGTTATTCAACAACCAAAAGTAATATTGTAATTCTGTGTAGCTGCATAACTGATAATGAAATTTTTCTAAACATTTATTAATAACATAACATCATACTAGGTTTGTAATATTATGTTCATAACTCACGATCCTTTTACACTAATCCCGAAAAAACGTACACTATCAAATAATACATATATTTATATCCAGTATGTTGTGCTTACATGTAAAATCGGAACGTTTGTATCCCTATGGGTTGAATAGCTGGATAGACTGCGTTCTTTAGCCTTGCTTGGCAACCTGTCTACCGCAGAAAGAAATGGTGACCTACTGCTGGAAAAAATCTACCTCATCATGCAGCTTCACTTTCTTTCAATTTTTATTCTTTTGTCAGCACAACGACATATATTATCATTAGAGTTTTGTTTTAGATTCTTTAGTTCTGTGTTACGTTTGAATTTCAAAGTCAAAGAATGTATTTAGGCACATACCATTAATTTGCGTGTGAAAATTCTTGTCCTTTGTATAGTTCTGAGTGACTCACTTTTCCCACCCAGTCATGTCTACTTTTGTACTGCTCAACTAACTTGCTAAATCCACTTCTTATATGATCGATGATCTCATTTCTATATATAATTAGAATGTTCTATTTTACTGTTATGTCTATTTTGGATTTTATTCTCTCTTCAAATAACCTCTTCGTATGCATGTCCCTGTCGTCTTATTTATAATTCTAGGTTCTTTTTTCTTGAAACATTTTTATACGAGTTTTTCTTTCTATCATGACAGCATGCGGTTATGCATTCAACCTGTCAGTAGGATTTTGTGCAAGTTGATGAATGCTTTGTAACTGAGTTGGTTGGAGTTCTCTACTATTGAAATTAGAATCTATCTTTACAGGTGTAATATTGTAAATGGAGAAGACAACGAGAAACCACTTGTCTACCTTTCTCAAAGTAAAGAGTTACTGAGTGAGATTGTTGTAAGGAAGGAAAATTAAAAGAGTATTATGAGGAAAAGTACGATAGATATCGGTTGATCCTGGACTTAAAGAGATCAAGATTGAAGTAGTCAGGTAAGTATTCTCTCAGGAGTTTTTTTCCGCAAAATAACAGTTCCGTGGAAGAGGCCTGTCTGAGTATAATTTGTTTTTATCAAAGAAACACGAATAGAAATAGGATTGTCTGCGACCGCAATTTTGACATGGTGAGTCCAAGCTGAGAAGCTCTGAAGGTGTTAGAACTAAGGATTGGAATTCGTCTGAACATCTACCATAGTAATAACGATTTAATAATAAAAGGCTGGCAACGTTTCGTCTGTAGGATAAAGATTGCAGGGTAGAGAATAATTCATCACTCACAGGCGCTTGTTGGACAGAGGGGACTGGGTAGTATCAGTCCAGATATAGCAGCAATTCTCCATTCTTGGTCTGACCGGACTCTTAAAATTTTAGCGCATGGAAGAAGGAGTTAGATATTTTCTGGAGCGATACAATAAAGCGGCCATTTTTCCCACATCTTTTGCGATGGTAGGAATATATGCGTTTCATTTGAAGTCGGGAGTGAGCTGGTTCCATGAACACTCGGGTGAATTCCATGTACACCACTGGTGTCGCAATCATCAAATAAATAAACCTCATTAGAATATATTTCAGACATCAATAAATCCCCAGCAGCTGCACCCAACTTACTTATGGGCAGCTGTTAAACATTTCTGGATAAATATTCACACCCTCAAAACACTAGCATTTCGTAAAAACCGAAGCTGTTATTCAGGCCGTGGAAATAGTTATGGCTTATTATGTAGGTCTCTCAATACTTTAAACACAGCCTTATGCTATATTTCGTTCGAACGAGCTGGGAATAAATACTTTTGCGTCAGAAAATATTCTTTCTAACATCATCTTCATTCGAATGACCAATGATGACTCATGCTATTACTTTGACCTGATAAATATTCCATCGTAATAGGATTTATAAGCATCTTTCCCAAACTTTACTGGGAGTCTTCTTTCGGTCATCTTTAGAAAACGGAAAAGTTAATAATGAGTTCAAAAAACCAATGAATGTAAGAAATAATGGAATTTATACAAAATGTATATGTGATTAAAACCTAGTTAAGAAGCATTTTTTTTTCATTTTGTGAAACGTACAAAAAAAGAAGGATTATAAAACAACCAAAGTGAAAGCTGAAATTCTTAAATAATATTTTGTGTGTTATCCTTAATTATTCTAGAAATGCAATGCGTTTTTTATTTGAATCATTTGTTTCGTTTAGTTAAATGGTGAAGAAGGGC